ACTTAATTTTAATTACACAGATGTGCCTAAATAACTAAAAACAGGTAAATTAACTAATTTGTCAGTTTTCTAACATATGCATTTGGAAAACCTATTTTATTATAAAAGAAACTTTTGGCTTTAACAGATACCCCACCACCTGAATTAGTCCATTATATGGAGGTTTTACTGTAGTTCAACTGCTGGCATAGGGACCATTCTCAATAACACTAGAACACTTCCGATGGGAAAGCCAGTGTGCTCAGTGGTTAGAGTGACACCCCCTGGGCACTAAAGGGTCGAGCGTTCAATTCCTGGTCAAGGGCATGTACCTGGGTGCAGGGGTCCTTTGTCTTGAGGCTTTATCTCTCTCTTGCAGACAGGAATCTTATGGGAGGTCTCAGGGAGGGTTTCAGTGGAATATTCATCAGTTTCTAGGTGTGCTCCTTCAGGGTCATGGTCTCCAATGATTGGTCCGTGTTAGGACAGGAGGTCATCAGTCATTGCAGCTGGTCCTGGTGTCAACCACCTGGTTTTGCTGCTTTTCTGGGCCTGAAGCTGAAATATTATCTCTAGGGAGGTGACCTGTATCTGCTATAAACTGCTCGGTCAGTTTGTTCAGCTATCTATCTCAGTTTCCCTGCTCTTCTTGTCCTGGCTTCCTGGTCCACCTCAGCCTCACTGATCTCATCTCCTACATTCAATCTTTGATGCACCAAATATTATTGAGTGCCTCTTGTGTGCTAGGCACTGCTCTAGACCCTAGAGATACAGCTTTGAACCAAACAACATGGACCAGCATTGTAATCATCTTCTTCAACAAGCCCATCCCACTGGCAGGCCTTTGCACTACCTGAAATTATCTTTTCCCCCCATTGATTTTTAGAGAGAGTGAAAGGGAGGGAAGGAGGAGAGACAGAGAGAAACATCAATCTGAGAGAGACACATCGATTGGTTGCCTCCCCAAAACACCCCGACTGGGGCAAGGATCAGTTCCGCAACCCAGGTACATGCCCTTGACGGGGAATTGAATCCTTTGGTTCCAGCACTGACACTCTAACCACTGAACACACCAGCCATGGCCAGGACAATCTTAATTTATGACTTGATTTGCCTGTGGATAAGAGTTCAGGGAGGAGGCAGGGCCCATTTCTGTTACTCAGAGCTGCATCCCTAGGTCTAAAAGAAAGTCTTGTTTGTAGTTAGACCTCAATAACAATCAGTTGAAAGAATATTAGCTCTAACATGCCTTTAACACGTGTGCTATATCCACCTGGCCTTGTTTTAAATTGTGTACACACATGTACCTACTTAATCTTGAAAACTATCCCTATTTTACAAGCGTTAACAGAGGGACAAAGAAGCTAGGCTTCGGCCCTAACCAGTTTGGCTCAGTGGATAGAGCATCGGCCTGCAGACTCAAGGGTCCCAGGTTCGACTTCTGCCTCTGTATCTATTATTGTTCAAAAGTTTATAATGGTCTCAATTATCCATGAATAAGTGAGATCATGTGGTATTTTTCTTTCATTGACTGGCTTATTTCACTTAGCATAATGCTCTCCAGTTTTTTAAAAAAAGAAGAAGAAGCTAGGCTTCGAACTGTCGATATAAGAAGCATTCAAACCTATGGAGAACTTTTGTGAGTTTATTTCAGCCAAACTGTCAACACTTGCCAGGAAGCAAAAACTCAACGGGTTGAGATAATGCTCCAGAGAAGGGCAGTTTCACATCTTATTTTGTTCATCACAATCAAAAGAGGAGTGTTAAGTGGGTTACAGGAAATTTATTTGTGATTAAAGAGGTGGCGAAAGCAAAGCGGGGAAACCTCTGGGATTGGATAAAAAGTAAAATGATAGACACCTACTTCTTTTACAAGGTGGTACAGGAGCGTTAACAGTCAACAATGAACATAACAATAAATGAAAGGATTTGTGGTCTCTACCCTGGTGCATTGGTTGTGCCCCGAGGATCCAGAAAAGGGGAGTTACCCTGACATTCCAAAGGTATGGTATCCCGGATGCAAAAGATAATTGACAGGCTTAGTTAAGGCCAAATTTGACTTGTGCCAGGAAAGATTCTAGCCTAAGACATGACTACCTGCCATAAACTGCTTTTAGTTTAAAAGTTTTAATTTCAACCATCCTTTGTGGTTACTGTGGGTCTCTGAGTTTGCAAGGCTGCCCCAGAGTTTGTCGGGTTCGCATGTGGCCCCTTTTTGTCCACAGAACTCAGGTAGCCTGGCTTCAACTTGATGGCCCTAACCCCTATGCATACTGCTCAATACATGAATGATTCAACCGATCATGCAGACTGGCCTGGGTTCAAATCCCAGCGCTGCCGCTTGCTAGCTGTGTGGCCTGGGACTTACCTCTCTGAACCTCACACTTTATTGTTAGAGGTCAAGCCCCTCCTCCTAGTTCGCGGTGCAGATGTCAGTCAGGTGCTGGAGAAAACTGGCTCAAAGACCGTACAGGCGCGTACAGGCAAACACGGAGGGAGCTGACGGCTTGGAGCGCCTGGGCGCTGGACCCTGATAACACTGAAAAGGGAGGTGGGACGTGGGCATGGCAATGGCGAGGGTGTTGGGGGTGAACGCAGCAGCGGGCGGGGTGATCACCGCCAGGCTCCGGGTGTGGCCTCCTAGAGGCTGCCAAAGTCTCTGGCTTTCAGGTTCCCCCAGTTTGTCCACGCCCTACTCGGGGCCCAAAGCGCTCTCTCCGCTCCCCTGAAAGTGAGAGACTGAAAGGGTGTGTCCCCGACGCCAGGCGGCGGCAGCGGTCTGGGAGAAAGAAATCCGGCGGCGGGGAGAGAACACTGGCGGTAGGCCAGGGTGGGGAGCTCGCTGCCCCGCCTCCCCCCACCTGACTTAGTTGGGAAGGGCGCTGCCCTCCGGCGTGGAGCGTCTGGGAGCTGGAGAAGGAGCCAACCTGCGGAGATGGAGGCGGCCGGCACCTGGGCGCTGCTGCTGCTGGTGCTG